TACGTTGGGTGATACAGTAGGTGAGGTGATGTGAGGTGATACGTTGGGTGATACAGTAGGTGAGGTGATGTGAGGTGATACGTTGGGTGATACAGTAGGTGAGGTGATGTGAGGTGATACGTTGGATGATATAGTAAGTGAAGTGATGTGAGGTGATACATTGGGTGATACAGTGGGTGAGGTGATGTGAGGTGATACGTTGGGTGATACAGTAGGTTAGGTGATCTGAGATGATACATTGGCTGATACAGTACGTGAAGTGATGTAAGGTGATACATTGAGTGGGGTGATATATGTAGTAGGTTGGGTGATGTGATGTATCAAGTAAGGTGATACAGAAGATGGGGCGATACCTAACATACGGCTTAAGTTATGGACGATTACGCAGATTTGCCCAAGGAAGTATGAGGTGATTTGAGGTGATACATTTAGAGGGCTGATACAGTAGATGGGGGTGATACATATCATGTAGATAAAATTGTGAACGATGACACAAATTCGTCCAGTTACTGTGGGGTGATGAGGTTAGGTGACAGTAGGTAGTGGTGACACAGTATGGGGAGATGCAGTGAGTGAGGTGAGGGGATGAAATGTGAGATAAGGTGACATGATGTTACACCATGTGAGGATATGAGAGATAGAGACAGGCATAGTAAGGTGATGTATACGGATTAGGTTAGATGATATGAGGTGATGTTACAGAATGCAAGTTGCATTGTTTTGAACGAGGTGATGTGAAATGAGACGTACTAGAACATCTGAAGTGTCCCTTAAAAACATAATGCAGTTTAAATATTGTCCAAGACCGCCTCATATTGTCAAGGAGAAAAGTGGTTGTCTTATACAGGTCGACGTCTTGTACAGTGCCATTATAATCGAGAAGTGGTCGTTAAGACAGGTAATTGTCTTATACATGTAACCGTATAGTATACTGACTGTATAGTATGAAGTACTTACAAACAGCAAGGAAGAAGAGCTGGAACAGCAGGATTAAGTAGTCCCAGACGGTGGTGTAGGGATACAGGTTGGCTGATCGCACTATGCTTTTGGAAAACACTCCTCCGAAACAGGGGAACTCAAGTAGAGCCTTGGCCTGTAAAAGACAGAGAACGTCATGGATTTGTTTTACCCCACCCCCCAAAAAAACCCCGAACAAAAAACCCCTAGCAAACAAACAAACAAACAAAACAAAAAACAACAAAAACCAACCAAACCAAGCCAAAACAAAACGAAAAAAAAAAATTAAAGAAACAAAATGATACAAAACAACAGCAAAAAAAAAAGATTAAAATTAAAAAAAAAATGGAACCCCCCCATACAGTACGCAGTCACTTGCAGCACCGGTGGTTGGTTTAGGGAGTTTTGTGTAGTATGGGTGTGTGTGTGTGTGTGTTTGTGTGTGTGTGTAAGTGTGTGCCACTGAAAACGCAGATACATACATACATACATACATACATACATACATACATACATACACACAGACACACACACACACACACACACACACACTTTGATTTTACTTCTTTTATTTTTGACTACCACGGAGAAGCCAGGACACCCCCCCCCCCCTAAAAAAAGAGAAAAAATAATAAATAATAATTCAAAAGTCAATTATGTATGTCAGGGTGGACTTAACCCAGTAAAAAGTGCTGAGTATCGAGATATCTAAACTGTTATGAGTATCAACTCCTCTATGTTGTCGGCTGTCAAAGCGGCATCGCGATAGCTCCTCCGGGGTGCCATCCCCCCCAGCCCCCGCCCCCGCGGGCTTCCCCCCCAAAAAACCCGATACTGCTACACACTCTCACCTTGCAGGTGTTCTGGGGCTACTACGTCACAGTCTGACGTCACAGGGGCGATTTCTGCCAGTTCATTCTGGGCCGAATCTCTCAACAGGCAGGTCAACAGTAGGGCAACCAGGACGATCTAAAGAGGCACAGACCATACCAAACAGTAGAGTTGTGTGCCTATTCGATTCTCTAGTATTCAACATTCACGATTGTTTCACTCTTCACAGCTATTCGAAATGTTGAGACGCCAATCTAATGCCGATGAAATTTCGTTTCTTCCAAATCGAACAGCACTGTCAGAAAGGTGATTGATCATTAATGGATGTCTATGCTTTAACTCTTTACGATTTTTTTTGCTCTGCAGGAGGCAGACTGCTACGACCTTTATTGTCTCCAAGAGCAAACCATTTGTGTTTTGAATTAAAAATGAGAGCAAAACGAAACAAACCAAAACAAACAAACCAAAACAAACAAACCCACAAACTAACCAAAAACAACAAATTAAAACAAAAATATCAGACAAAAGTAAAAAACAACAAAAACAAACACAGTAAAGTTAAAAACCGAAAAAGAAGAAGAAAACATCAGCAGTAGCAGCAACATCATTAATAATAGCAATTACTATAAAGAACCCCCCCCCCCCTTTTCTCCCTTCCCCTAAAAAAACAAAAACAACAAACAAACACACAAACAAAAAACCCAAAAACAAAACAAAAACAACTATGGCAGCAAAAACAACCTCAATACCAGTGGCAACAACAATAACAATGATAGCAACAGCCGCAGAGAAACAACAACATTATTGTTAATTGCGACAATAACACAACAACAGCAGTAAAAATAACAATACAAACAGCAGTAGCAGCAACAACAATAACAACAACAACAACAACAACTACAACTACAACAACAAAAATAGCACCAAAATGCCCCCCCTCCCCACCCCCTGCAAAATTCCAAACAAACACCCCGCCCCCTACCCAAAAACTACAACAAAAAGAACAACAACGAAACACACACACTAAATCAATCCCACCTTCAGAGGTTCCAGCAAGAGGGTCCCGGTGGTTGCGCTGAAAAATAAACTCGCCATCCACTGTAAGGAGGTCTCCCCTCCCCACTCTAAGCTGTAGAAGAAGGTGAAGGACGCCGACGTCGCAATAGAAAGGAACACGATGCAATACCCAACAATAGCCGACCACCACGGAAGCAAACACGAGGGCCCCTTGATTTTCATCGATTCCTCGTCCTCCGTTTTGACCTCGTACTTTTTTCTGTGAACCAGCTGTTGATGACGAATCACGTCGAACGTTTCAATAGTGTCCGAATAATGCACAACGCTTTTTACGTTGCTTTTAAGCGAATAGTGGGCTGGGCTTGGAACGTCTCCTTTCACTCCCCCAGCGTCTGTTTTGGGCACGTACTTTGGTGAGTAGTTCTGAGACGTCCCTGAGCAGTTGCTTGGAGCAAGCTCGTAGAGCGACATAAACCCGGTGCTCGTGAAGGTCGGAACCCGGGACAAGTCGCACTTTTCCTGGCCAGGGAGAGAATGTGCTGTCAACTCCGCCATCACAGGAGTCGGAGGCTCTTTCAGAGAGCTATATTTAGCAGTCACGTGACGCGGTTTGTAGTCATTCTCTACCACACCGGTTACGGTGCTGATTCTACTTACACACGAAGACGCTACACTTTCCCGATCATCGACTGGGGTTGGAACCTTTCCCGTGCTCGCTCTACTTAGGTCCGAAGACGCCAAACTTTCATGTTCAGCACACTGTATATCTGTTGGAGTCCTTATCTTTCCTGAACTAGTCCTACTAGAAACATTCGCAGAACTGTCCCTCCCCTCAACATTTTGTTGATCAAATTCAGTTCCAAGCCCTTCCTTAGAACCAATCTTAGAACATTCAAAAATATCAGCAGCACCTTCAGTATTCGCGTCTAATCTCCGAAAAAGTTCTTTTAAATCGTTCTTCTTTGAGTCATTGGTAACCATATTGCTTCCGTCTTCATCTTCAACAAAGGCGTAGTTTACTTCGGCTTCATTCAGTTGCGTCCTATTGGGACCAAGGCGGGGTTCACTGACCCCGGTGTGTGAAGGGGAAGAAGAAGAGGTGGAAGTTGCGCACTTGGAAGACTGCGCACGGACGCCCAGCTTTTGAGAAGGGCTCAGCTTCAACTTCCGGTTCCGGAACATGCAGGTCATGAGAAATCCGGGTATGACGATAATAATTGAGGAAAAAATGCCCACGTAGACAGTTCTAGAGGAAAAAAATAATAACAACATGGTTAAGTTCATAAAGTTTCAAAACTGAAATGGATACTGCATTGATTTATAAAGATAACTTTGTCTATTTACAAGGTTGGGATAATCGCAGACAATACATTTTCACAGCTGCTACCTCTTTTCTTCTCAAGATCCACCTTAAAGTCCACCTGTTTATAATGGAAGTTAGAATATTATGGATGCGCAGCTGAAGATTCTTTTACACTTTTAATAATTGTGTCTATATTGTGTATGCTTTCTTGTCTTTTTTCAACATTTAGAGTCTGAATTTCGATTACATTTTTCTTGCGTACGTGAAACTGATACCACAGACTATGAAACGACAATGAAAAAAAGGGCTTGGTACACTTTAACAGCTGGCCGACAATATATTTCTCTTGCTAAGTCCCCCTCTTATCATCTCACTTTTTGTGTTTAAAACCTCTGTTTCTCTTTCAACTTAGCTCTCCTGTGGGAAGATGCGAGTGTGTGTGTGTTTGTGTGTGTGTGTGTGTGTGTGTGTGTGTGTGTGTGTGTGTGTGTGTGTGT